ATATATATTTATATATATTCAACTAGAGGATAGCACGTACATCCCCAATTGGCCCACATAGATTTCCTCCGTGACATCAACTAACTAAACCGTGTTTTGAAAAATTCCATTTTCCAAAAAATAAAAAGGAAAAAAATAATTCCCTTTCCTTAATCTTTACAAATCTCAGCCGCCGTATCTCCGTTAATCATTCTCCTCTCTCGCCGCCGTCACTGGCGCCGTCTTTCCCCCCTTTATCCCCATTCATACAAACATTTTCGTGCCTTTTTAGGAGCAATAATAATAATATTTTTTTTTTGTATTGAGTAAAATAATGAGAGTAATTATTTTTGAATATATCCAAATTATATTTCAAAGCTCCGATTTTCGCGGGAAAAACCGACACTTAAACAAATTCAGATAAATCCACAGTTTTCTCCTTAGGAAAAATTAGAGTGAAAAAATTCAATAATAATTCAAAAGAAAAAAAAATGCATTCTCTTTGTTGTAACACCGACGTAGCTGATCAGAACACGGCGGCAGCAATGCCGGCGACTACATCCTCTTCCTCTAATAATATACCACTAGCCAAATTCCTCGACATGCAACCGCCGCGATCACTTCCTTCTCATACTTCCAAATCACGTGCGGCCGTCAATAACGGCGAAACCGAATTCTCCGGCGATCAACTCCGCCCGTCCAGCACGACGTCGTCGGAATTTCATTCGGCGAGGATGAATGATATTAATTTAGGCAATGGCATTTCGGGAATTTTATATAAATGGGTGAATTATGGAAGAGGATGGAGACCGCGGTGGTTCGTTTTACATGACGGCGTCCTTTCGTATTATAAAATTCATGGACGGCATAAGATTGTGACGAATTTGGAAACGGAGAAAGGATCGATGATCGTTGGGCAAAAGTCGTTTCGGAGGATTAATACTTCGCCGATGAGCAGCTCTTCGCGATCTCACCGGCGAAAACCGTTTGGAGAAATCCACCTCAAGGTATTTAATTATATATCCATGATATGAAGCTTTTTTGGAGAAATATTTAGTTGTAATTAAATCATATAAGAAGTTCTCATTTAATGTGATGTTGTTCGAATAATAGTAAAGTCTATGGGGACAATTTGAGTTAAATTTTTCCTTCGGCGTCCAAGGGTGGGGCCTAATGGTCAACGAAGTAGATTGAGATTCCCATCTGTCCAAATCTTGATGGGGACTGTGGGGTTACCTGGTACCTGCTGTTGCTGGTAGGTTAGTAGAGGCCCGTACACCATAGTTATCAGAATGAAAAAAGAAAATTTCCTCGGGGCTTTGATCAAGTGGTAAGAGCATCGTGCATGATGTGTGAGTTAGACTGACGTCACGAGTTCGAATTTTTCCGAAACTTGGTATTTAAGTGGAAAATGGTAGAAAGACGGACCTATTATTCACTGAGTTTTGAAACTTGCCCACGGGCCTCGGGGATTTTTCGGTTATCAAGATAAAAAAATGAGTTAAACTTTGTGGCAAAAATTAGCTGTTAAACTTTCTGTTTTAGGTTTATCTGAATGAAAACTTTTCCTCTGCATTAATCCAAATTCTAATTTTTTTCAACTTTCAAAGTATTTTTGGCACCTACTTTCTACACAATTTCAATTTTTTTTTCAAAAAAAAGTCAAATTTATCTTCATGTGTAGAATCACTTTTATCAAACATAAGTAAACTTTTTTCAACTGTTATCTTAATAATTTACGTCCAGATCAAACGGGAGAACTAAATTGAACAAAGGGAGTCATTAATTAAGTAGTGTGTTGGTATAATCTTCACATTACTGTGTAAAGTTAAATAGTTGAAAAGGTTTGAATTTTAGAAAATTTATCTTCGGGAACATCAAAAATAAAAAGTGTCATATAAATTGAGACAAAGGGAGTACATTATGGACGCGCGTATCAAATATGCCTGAGTGGCTAATAAGAGCGGAATTCCTATTTGTAGAAGCTGTGCTATTTCTGAATTTTTGTTAGTGTGCCATATAAAAGATCAACTTGTAACATGGATGTTTGTTTTGTTTGTCCAATTGCTTTGATTTCGGAGTTGGAAATTCTACTAACCGGTTAGTGTTTTTATAGGTCTCATCAGTAAGGGAAAGTCGATCAGATGACCGGAGGTTTTCTATAAATACTGGCACAAAGAGGCTGCATTTGAGGGCAGAAACAAGGGAGGATCGACATACTTGGTTGGAGGCATTGATTGCAGCAAAGAAGATGTTTCCGACAAGCGATCCTGTTCTCGAGACACAAATGAATGAGAATGTGGTCGTATCCACTGAAAAGTTGAGGCAGCGACTCTTGGAGGATGGTGTAAGTGAGGCTGTGATTCGGGACAGCGAGCAGATTATGAGGAATGAATTTGTAGCATTGCATAATCATCTAATGCAGCTAAAGCGGAAGCAGATGCGACTGCTTGACAAATTGGGACAGTTGGAGGTATGACCTGCTAGAAAATGACATGTTTTTGCTATTGCTGATGCAACTTCTACATGCTAACCATTTTATACATTTTGCCATTAGAAAATAACACTTATGGACTCAAATGGTTATCGAATGAAGTATTACAGTTATCAAAAGGCAGCTCTTATTCACATTAGTGCGTCTCATAATATAGAATAGCCTACAAGGAAAGCTCTGTATGGAATCTTAACTAGTAGCAGTATAGAGCAAAAATCATTCACTTGAAGAGTCTCGTGAGAATTTTATTTTGGTCTACACCAAAGTGAATGACTTCAATTTGGCTTGAAGAGTTGTATAAACATTAGCTTTTCTCATAATAGAGTATAGCTTACAACAAATGCACTTTAGGGAAAAAATCTAAAATACTAGTAGCAAATAGAGCATAAATCCTTCACTTGAAGAGTCTTGTCAATGAGAGAAAACTTTAAGCATATCTTGAATTCCATTTTGTTGTGAAACCAAATAGGAAAACTTCAATATCATACGAAGAGTTTGGCTTATGAGAGATAAACTTACTACGCTATATTGAATTGAACTAGTCTAAGAAGTTTCTTTCTTGGCTCTACAGCATATTGTAAGAAATTTCTCCAGCTGTACTCTTGTTGAATCTCCATTCTAGCTGACTTAGCTACTTAACTGATGAATATGGTTCATGCTTTGATTCTGCCTTAATAATAAAGCTGGCAGTCTTCAATTACTGGGCTTTCTTTGAATTACCATCAGGCCTGGATTACGATTACATGCTAGATGAGAAGAACTAAATAAACATTTCTGCAGAAGTTGATGAGCTTGAATTGCAACAAGATGGTCCTACCTATTTAGTACAGATTCTTCACGAGAGTTTGTTTCGGAGTAACATTAAGAAGAGCACTTTGAAGTTCCAAGCAGTGCCACTTCTGGTTATGAGGATGGTGCAATCAGATTATCACTACAAGAAGAAGCTTCTGTTATCTTCAACTTCAGGAGCTGACTGGAGTACTTACACTGTTAGTTCTGTTAATAGAACGCAATAGAAAGAAGAAAAATGCATAGCGTAGATACATCATTTCTTGGGGGTCATAATTAGGGGAAAAATTAGAACAGAACGTGAAGACAGGAGTGAATCTTGACTTTAAAATGAAATATATTGTAGTGGCTGGAAAAGTTAGACAGAGAAAGAATGAGAAAACAATGACGAAAGACCAGCTGAAGGAGAGGAGAGGAAGTGGAAAGTGTATGACTTATTATTTGCAAAGGCAGGATAACATCCTTCTATAATGGACTAAAAGTTACTAAAATTTAAAGCTTGTCCGAATATGTCGTTGCATTGCATGGGAAATCATCAGGTGCCAGATTAGCTTCTTTGTATTCAGCAAAATGTAAATGCTTTTCTCTGTCTAATAAAATGAAAAATCATGATTAAGAAGTTATTTGGAACATACCAGCATTTTTATGACTTACGAGAGTTTCGGCTGAATAATGTCTGCTTTGGTGTGTACTACTACTACAATTTAGGTAACAAAAGGTTTCTATGCATTTGACGTACAACTGGAATTACTAAACATCAGATCTCAGATAAGCAATACGAGCGCATATCTTCTCTCTTTACGCCCCAAAATGGTTCTGCTTCTATGTTTTCAGTAATACCAGTTGAACTTATTTTTTATTTGATTTACTTGCCGAATCCCGTTGTTGGTGTCAATCTGAAAGCCATTACAACTTCTTATGATATTGAATTTAGGTTGTAGTTGAGGGACTTGCAGTTTGTTTGTTGAATTCTGCTTAGTTGAATCTCAGAGTCACATATGAGACTCATGTGCTTTATGATACACTAAAACTGCTCTTATTCTGCCCACCCACAGACAGAAAAAGTCGACCTCGAGAACACTCTTATTGATGAGGGTCACAGACAAGCAAAAGATCATCAAACTTCTTCTGAAGTATCCCTGGATAAATTCAGAGGTACGCATAGTTAGACATTTTTTCTCATTGCTGCAGTGCAACTATTTGAACTTCACTTATTGTATTTTTCAATTTGTATCTCTTACCATTTGGAGAAAGTTTACTTACTAAATTTCTTTCATCTGGTAGTATTTCTAGGAGGAAGTGTAAGTGGATCTGACAACGAAGAGGAGGAAAGTGATGATGATGTAGACGCTGATAACTTATTTTTTGATGCTAAAGATTTTCTTTCTTCGAGTTCCACAAGAAGCACCGATTCTGATGATGGAAGATCATCATTTGATTCTGCGGTCATAGAGTTTCATCCTTCTGAGGATGGTCTTAGTTCTGGTACTAGATTTGCCACATCTGACTATCCTTATGTTAAGCGGAGAAAGAAATTGCCAGAACCATTTCAGAAGGAAAAGGGAGTAAGCCTTTGGTCAATGATCAAAGATAACATCGGCAAGGATCTAACTAAAGTTTGTCTACCAGTGTTCTTCAATGAGCCACTCTCTTCTTTGCAGAGATGTTTTGAAGATTTTGAATACTCTTACCTTCTTGACCAAGCTTATGAATGGGGAAAAACGGTAAGCATTTTGTGGGATTTTTATCTCTATGTTTATCTTTCTTCGTTGTTTCTATGCATTTATTATACATCATATATTCCTTGTTATTGTTGAAGTTTGGCAAATTTTTTATCCCACATAGGTGGGCTCTTGAGTTTGGGAGGATTTTCCCCCTGTAAAAGAAGACCTAATGTTTAGGATTTAAACACACCTCTCATTTGCCTTCTCATCTGTTTAAGATATTTGTATCTTCTCTCTTTAATATTATTTCACTTGTATTTTTGGAGTGGAATAAAATATTGGTTGTGTCCGAGGAGTAGGCAAAATTAGCCGAACCTCGTAAATTCTGGTGTTCCCTTTATTGTTGCTTTATTGTCTTATTTATTATTTGGTGGCTGTCATAATTTTTGGTATAGTAGTTGTGACTTATTCACACTATATACATTTGGCTTCCGCAACAATTGGTATCAGAGCCAAGGTACTGTCTAAGTATGCTCTGTGGTTGCAGCATAGTCTGATCTTCCACATCAGAAAAGATTTATCTTGGTAACTGAGTCAAGGTTCTGTCTGAGTATGCTCTGTGGTTGCAGCTTAGTCTGATCTTCCACACCAGAAAGGAAATAATCTTGATTTGTGTCGTCAGCTATTAAATAATATTTGTGTCAAAGATGGGAGACAATAAACAAGAAGAATCTACATCAAGTGTCAACAATACGTCATCATTGGCATCTTCGCTTATGACAAGAATTGTGTCAAATGCGAAATTTGCGGTAGAAATATTTGACGGGTCCGGACATTTTGGGATGTGGCAAGGCGAGGTTCTAGATGTCCTTTTTCAACAAGGGCTAGATCTGGCCATTGAAGAAAAGAAACCAGATGTTATTGGAGAAGAAGATTGGAGAATTATCAACCGTGTTGCTTGCGGTACCATTCGATCCTACCTTGCTAGAGAGCAGAAATATCCATACACAAAGGAAACTTCTGCAAGTAAATTATGGAAAGCACTGGAGGATAAATTTTTGAAGAAAAACAGTCAAAATAAATTGTACATGAAGAAGAGACTGTTTCACTTCACCTATGTTCCTGGTACCACGATGAATGAACATATCACCAGTTTCAATAAGTTGGTCACAGATTTGCAAAATATGGATACAACTTATGATGATGGTGACTTGGCCTTGATGTTGTTGGCGTCACTTCCTGATGAGTACGAGCACCTTGAAACTACTCTACTCCATGGAAATGACGAAGTTTCTCTCAGAGAAGTTTGTTCGGCTTTGTACAGCTATGAACAAAGAAAGCGAGAAAAACAGAAGGGCGGAGAAGGAGAAGCACTATTTGTGAGGGGTCGTCCTCAAAATCAAACGAGGACAAAGAAGGGAAGATCCAAGTCAAGATCCAGACCCAGCAAAGATGAATGTGCCTTTTGTCGAGAAAAAGGGCACTGGAAGAAAGACTGTCCGAAGTTGAAGAATAAGGCCAAACATAACAATGGAAAGGCCATTATGGATTCAAATGTAGCTGATTGTGATGATTCAGACTTCTCATTAGTTACAACAGAGTCATCAACATCATCAGACATATGGTTGATGGACTCGGCTTGTAGCTATCATATGTGTCCCAACAGGGACTGGTTCGTGGAATTTCAAGAAGGAGAATATGGAGTCATCCACACAGCGGATAACAGCCCTCTTACCTCATATGGCATTGGTTCAATACGATTAAGGAACCATGATGGAATGATCAGAACATTGATAGATGTTCGATATGTACCGGATTTGAAGAAGAATCTCATCTCTGTGGGAGCCCTAGAATCAAAAGGGTTCAAAATCATTGCAGAAAATGGAGTGATGAGAGTATGCTCCGGTGCACTAGTGGTAATGAAGGCTAATCGGAAGAATAATAATATGTACCGCTATCGTGGCAGTACAGTTATTGGGACAGCGACAGTGACATCCAGTGACGACAAAGAGGCAGAAGCAACCAAGCTATGGCACATGCGCTTGGGACATGCTGGAGGAAAATCCTTGAAAACTCTATCAGATCAAGGATTGTTAAAAGGAGTAAAGGCTTGCAACTTGGAGTTTTGTGAGCATTGTGTCAAAGGGAAACAGACAAGGGTTAAATTTGGTACAGCGATCCATAATACTAAAGGCATTTTGGATTATGTACACTCTGATGTTTGGGGTCCTTCCAAAACACCTTCATTGGGTGGGAAGCACTATTTTGTAACCTTTGTTGATGATTTTTCTCGAAGAGTGTGGGTGTATACAATGAAAAACAAAGATGAAGTGCTGGGAATTTTTCTCAAATGGAAGACGATGGTGGAGAATCAAACAGGCAGGAGGATCAAGTGTATTCGCACAGACAATGAAGGTGAATACAAAAATGATCATTTCAATAATGTTTGTGAAAATGATGGCATCGTCCGACACTTCACTGTTAGACATACACCACAACAGAATGGAGTGGCAGAACGTATGAACCGGACCTTGCTGGAGAGGGTGCGGTGTATATTGTCCAATGCTGGCTTGGGCAAAGAATTTTGGGCTGAGGCAATTACATATGCATGCCACCTCATTAATCGTCTACCATCTGCTGCTATTGATGGCAAAACACCATTTGAAAAATGGTACGGAAAACCTGCTGTAGATTATAACTCTTTGCACGTGTTTGGCTCAACTGCATATTATCATGTGACGGAGTCAAAATTGGATCCAAGGGCAAAGAAGGCTATTTTTATGGGAATTACTTCTGGAGTCAAAGGATATCGCTTATGGTGTCCTATGACAAAGAAAGTAATATTCAGCAGGGATGTTACCTTTGATGAATCTGCTATGGTAAATAAGGTAACAGAAGATACCAAACAAAATAAAGGTGCTTCTAAGCAGGTGGAGTTTGAGGGAAAATTTATTTTTCCTACACAAGAAGCAGAGGAGGAAACAAATGAAGATTACCCTCTGGAAGGAGAGCCAGTAGAGGAGATTCCAACTCAGGAACCTCAACAACAACTTGAATCAATAGCAACCAGCAGGCCAAAAAGAACAATAGCAAAACCTGTTCGTCTCATAGAGACAGTTGCTTGTGCAAGCTCAATTGTAGCTGATGATGTTCCTACCACTTATAAAGACGTTGTCCAAAGTTCAGAAGAAGA